CTCCTCCTCCTCCTCCTCCTCCGCATCATCATCATCATCACCATCATCATCATCATCATCAGCATCGTCTTCTTCAATTGCTTCACCATCACCAGTCTCCCCATCGTCTCTATCATCACTGTCATCATCATCATCATCAGCACCACCATAGTCATCAGCATGTTCATTGTCATTGTTATTGTTTTTGGCATCACCGCCATCAGCATTGTTTTTATCTGTGTCATCATCATCATCACTGTCATCACTACTGTCAGCATCATCGGCGTCATCATCACTATCATCATCATCATCATCGTCATAGCCATCGCCATGGTCATCGTCATCCTCCTCCTCATCATCATAATCATCATCCTCATCCTCATCCGCACCATCACCCTCATCATCATCGTCACTTACATCTTCATATCATGGAAAGTACGCTAACTGCACGCCACTTCATTTGCCTTATGTACCAAGTTGCCTGGCATCGATGGGCAGCGCCATCACTACTCTATCCATGCTGGACATAGCTGGCATGGCTCTCGTAGGTTGGGGTGGTGTTGCCGGTGGATTCGGTATTCCTGATCCCCTTGACGCGGGCATCGAGAGACTTCGTCTCCTTGTGGGTATTGGATGCCGAAGTAAATCTTGAGGTTCTCGCTTTGGCTGACGGGAAGCATCCTGAATCCTTCCGACCCCCTTCTGGAGTAATAGAGTGATATCCATACCAAACGTCCTTCGACTCCTTCGACTTGTTGCTAGCCCGGCTTCACAACTTGTCGGCAGCCAGGCCATCCGCCTCGACAGAAGTGTTTGTGGACAATCTCGATGATGGCATGCTTTTCGATGGTGAGGCACGATTCTGAAATGGCAACTATCGACTGGTGTGTCTTTCACTTTTTTCAAGGCTAGGCTTCCTCATGATTGGGTTGAGCATTCACTTTTCTTAGGATAGGGCGGCTTCTTATACTTTTCTGAAGTACACCTTGCCGTACGAAGGTCAAGTTGCAGGTTTATCATTTGGCCAAGGCAGCCAGGATCTTACAGAATTGGAAGCGGGGCGGTAACCGCCCTCACATACACAGAAAACGTTGCTGATGGAGACTTACCAAGTCAGGTCAAGGCCATCGGTCTTCCCATCTACCACACCGGTGTTGAGGCCGGCATTGAAACACCGTTCGATTGTTGTGGTGAGAAAGTTGCATGTGAAGGTCTATGGTCTGGAGCACTACTTCTGTGTAAACGGTGTGGAATCGTGCTGGCCACGAGGCCGTCTTTGGGATGGGGAGCTGCCCCTTTCAGCAACCAGTCCCGGAACCATATCTGCGGTTATAGGTATGAGTACCTTCAGAACAGAGTTTCGTCCGGAATCACAGTGTGGACTGCGAATTGCAAGCTCTTCCTGGGTACCTGAATGTTCGCAAGCCCATGCTTGTGTTGGATGTAAACTGCCTTCCTTGCGCTTGAATTCTGCTCGCAACTTCGATGGGCACTCCTCCTCTGTGTTCGTTTCGGATATACGGCGGCAGTGTACGAGTTGATCCATCTTGCAAACATAAGGCTGCAATTAGTTCTGTTTTTCTGCAAACCGTTCAATAAGTCTCGCATTGTGTGTTGACGTGTGTTGACGTGAGCTGGAACTTGGCTACGAGCCCACGTAAGCACGAACCACAGCAGCTACACAGTCTTTTGTCGTCATATCCTGGTCTTTGTTCATCCGTCGTCATGTCCCGTTGGCAACGTGCAATTAGTTCGCAGTTTGGTCCTGGCAGCATGCTGTAGGCTGCTGTGCCTGTCGGGTCCCAGGGTACGGACAAGGAGTTCACAAGGCAGCTGTACCGCTTGGTAAAACCAAGCTCAGCAACGCCCGGGTGGAACAGGCTGGGTACCCTATGTACTCGTCCCAAAGAAGTCACATTGGCGACCTTGTGATGCCGTGGCAGATGATTAAGAAGATCAAGCCCAAGTGGCCCGGCAAGGAGATCTGTGTGAGAATTTAAGAAACTTCAACGGAATTGGAGTCCTTCCGGCAGGACTACAAGTTGCTGAGCCACAACTGCCAAACCTTTGCTGTTGAGCTTGTGTCTTTGCTGCTGCCGGGAGTGGTCATTCCAAGCGAGTATCGTTGGGTTCTCAGCCGAAGTCGCAGCATCATGTTGTGGCTGTACTTTAGTCTGCCTTTCTAGTATTCTGGCCGCGGTGCTGAGGTCGCTTCGCCGGTGCCAAGCCGCAGGCTAGCAAACCGGTGCCCCTTTGCTGCATCCATACCAGTACCCAATAGTAGCTGTTGCATCAGCTAGTCAAGGCTTGCGCGGCGATACTGAGAACCTCGACTGTGAGCAAAAGGTTTTGCAGCGGCAAGGGCAATGCTTCGTTGCTGCATTGGACAAGTGTTTCTGAAAGCTTGGGTGCAAACTGCTGCCGTTTGCGGGCTCAAACTCGGAGATATGGCTGCAACTAGCGATTGACCTTAGCAGCAATGCCCTAGCGCGGGCCGGACTGGGAGGAACACAGGCAACTGAGCAGCTTCGGGAGGAAATTCTGCTTCGCAGCGGACGTGCACTTGCTAGGTCATCTTGTTGCGGTCCTGGGCCACTATGACGGAGGCAGGGGTACACGGGCCGACGACGCTGTCATGATTGTTTCGGTTATGGTGTTGGTGGGCCTGTGACTCCGCAGTTGGGACACATTAGCAACTTCGAAGGAATTGTGCTGATGATGAGCATGATGGTGATGTGATGCTCTTGTTTGTGTCCTGCCGTTTCAGAAGCTACTGCCAGATTCCAAGCTCTGCGCTTCCCAGAGCCTGGTGACTGGATTGTCGATAGCTGCACGATGCTGCATGTAATTCTGATGGAGGTTCAATTTATGAAGAAACATGAGAAAACCCTGCACAAGCTTGGCAGCGTGGCAGCAGCGTGCGAGTTGTCGCCTCTTCTTGTTCCTCTCCTGTTGAACACATCAGGAACTAACACTTGCCCACATTGCGCTTGCCTGCACACAGCCACAAGGCAAGCTTTCCTGATGAGGAGCTTCGGCGGCTTGCGTTGCTCTGATCTGCTGCCTGCTCTCGCGATTATATCTACAGTATCCTACAGTACCTCCGTACGAAAAGCCGACAGAATTGCAGGCGGCACGGACGTGCACGTGCCTGCAGGATGGTTGGCATGGGCCAGAAAATTAACCTGCGTGAGGTAGACCAGCAGCAAGCAGTGCAAGGCACTCCCGCCCCACAAATCTCTCGCCCATTTTTTGCTTATATGCATTCCGAGAAGAAGCTGGGTCGGGAAAACCTGTCCCAAGCCTGCTCGCATAGACCGCCGCTTAGTGCGCGTGGGATGCCTGTCGCTGGCCCGCTGGCCCCGTCTTGATGCAGTCGGAGTGCACGAAAACAACGAAGAAGCCCATCTAGTCAGAAGTTGGCAGTTGGCGAGCAGGCAAATGGAGATATGAGCGACATCTCCAGACCTGCAGGAGCCTTACAGATGCCTTCAGTGCCTCTCACAAAGGCCCTGCATTGCCAATGCCGTGCCAGTGTGTGTGTGTGTGTGTGTTTGAATGGCAAGGTTAAGCAGGCTCATCAAGTCCTCAGAAGTGCCGTGCGACTCCGAGCATGCCATGCTGTAATGTTCCTTTAGCAGTGACACGCACCTGTTCTGGGCGATTGTCATTGGCTCCGCTTCAGGCAATTTCCAACTCCACACGAATGGTGGAGAGACATGCGCTGAAGGAGGTGGGAATATGCTGTCTATGTGCATCTGTGCGATGCCTCGCCGTATTTTGTACGAGGTCATTGAGGATACGAACCGCCGCTTCTGGGGATGTGCCGTCCTAGGTACATGTATACTGTATACGGTATACCAGATCAGGCTCTCGGTGAGAGCAGTAGCTTGTGCCTGCAGCCTTGATGATGCATCTCGCAAACTCTTCGAGTCAGATTTAGTCAGCTTGGAAGCACAAGGTGTGATGCTTCCAATCACGCTCGCCTTCTTTGGCTTCTACTCTTTGTCTTCCATTCTGCATGAGGCCTTCGGATGAGTCGCTAGTCGTGGGTGAAAACATGCTCGTTTGCATTTCTTGACTTCATGGTCCTTGAGGATGTGCCATCCAAGCACATCACAGAGTTTCCCGTGCGCAATGTGCTGAACCCACTCTTGGCCCGAGACCCATGTGATGCTGTCCTTGGTCCTGTCTATCTCAGCACACCAGCACACCCAGGGTGAAGATGAAGATCCCACCGCAGAAATGTCGCTTGAATGGAACTTGGCACATGGTGCCGGTTAAGTTGCTTTGCATGACAGTTTCAGGTTGGATGGTTTGACCACATCCGCGGATGTGCGAGGGCCTCGTGGATACTGGAAAGGCATTGATGGTATGGATGCTGTCTGGTTCAGATCGTAGTGAGCTTGGAGGTGGAACTATCTGGAAAACGTCTTCATTCCGTTCTTTCTCCGTGACACTGACATCTACGGTCGCCAACTTCCCGAGGAATGTTGCGACGAGCCATGTGTGTCTAGCAAACTGTCAATTCATGCTGCGCAATGTTGCCAACGTCTCCAAAACTAACAGGAAAAGCGAGGCACCTTCCTGCAGTACAACCAGGCCTTTCGACACTGCATAGGGAGGTAGCATTTTCAGAAATTCTGCAGCCGGCGGTGAAGGTGCTCGGTGGCATAATCATGAGCCTTGAACGGGGATATCGGCAGCCTTGTGAGGAGCAGCTGCCAACCAGACTCACAGACTCTTGCAGATCATAGAGGAATCCTTTCGGAGTCAGCCTTTCTTTGCCAGGATCCACTCGTGGAGCACTTGACATGCTTTCCCCAGGTGCGGACATGGCTGAAGCGTCTGCGTGCCTTCGCACCTTCGTATCTTGCGGCAAGGATACGCTCAATGCGGAGCAGTTCGGCGCGGGCCCCGGCACTTGCATCATTGAGCTCAACATCAAATGCTGTTTGCACCAAGGGGGCAACATATCTGATCTCTTTGAGCCTGGGAAAAATGCATCATACTGGTATGGTACGTGCTTGGCCCCAGATTCACGGGGCTGGTTGAGCCGCCAATCACCTCTGCCTTTGTCCCATCAGGAACGAGTCCCTTCTGGAATGCCCAGATGAAGGCTGGGAAACCAACAAGTGCCGCTGATGTCATTGTCAAGAAAGCACCCTGGCGATTGCTTACGAGAGCATTGAGGTTCATTGAGGTGCGCTCGGCCTGCATGATGGCTTTGGTTGCAAAAGGGGTGGTGGCATTGTACAACCCGTTCATGTACTGTCCGGAAACTTTTGGAGGCACGCAGTCGGGAATCACCTGAGAAGAGCGGGGCAGGATCGCGTAAGGAATCGCAGCAACACACTTTGCTTGGCTTTGTCGAAGCTTTACAGATATATGGACTGATCTTGAGATCCGGGTGAGGAAAGTGCCAAAATCAAAGCTGCCAGCGAGGGCCTGCTGCATGCTGCAGAGCCTCCTCCGCTTGGAAAATTTCGGTGACGTTGGAATTCTCAACGTTGGAAGTTCCACGGAGGCAGCGGCACATGCCGCTCAGAAGGAGCTTGGGAGGCGCTTCTTTGGGGTCATGCCGCCGCATGCCGCCGCTATCAGAATCCATCAGAATCCTTCGCTTGGCGGCTCTTAAGTGCATTGTTCGCGATCTGAGCGGCCATCACGGGATGGCCCGGGATGGAGTTCAGAAAATGTGGACGGGGCACGGGAAGGATGCAGCTGGTGACCATAGAGACGCATCTCATGTGTGAAGCACTGTTTGTGTGTGTGTGTGCGCGTGCGTGTGCATGGAGGAGTTTTCACCCGGTTCTACAGCAACAGCAACTGGCGCGGAATGGAGGAACAAATCTGGTCAGGGCCGCTGGGGTCACTTGAACGGCAAAGGCCGCAGCCCACCACGACAGCACGACGCCGAGGCGTCACCTTGTGGTCGCGGAAGGGCGATTGCAGCGAAGACATTTCGGAGAGCATTCCCTTCCAAGCCCGGGGACGGGGGTTGGAAGTGGATGCCAGCACCTATGCATTCTCCGGGTAGTGTCAAGGTCGGTGTGTAGGGCGAAGTAAGAAATCAATATTCACATGCGGTTATCATCTCGCACGCACAAGCGAGAGATCAAGCCTCAGCAAAACATAGCTTTTTTTGTCGAAACGCAAGCCCTGACTCCTGTTGGCTGCTGAAAGCTGGGATGATGGACATAAGCTGAGTGCACTGCTCAAGGAGCGACGTGTTTGCTACCCAGCTCCTGGTAAACTCGGTTCCTACGGGCCACAATCCGATTTTTCGAATTGGACTTCAGTGGGTCTCTCGCACCCAGTTGTTGCAAGAGTCCGTACAGTCTTCCCGCAGACTACCCCAGCAGTTGCTTTTCGGTGGGGATGCATGAAGTGGATACTTGATTTGATGTTCGTCACCCATTTAGTTTGTTTGGCTCTGCCAATGCCACTTACGCTTCTGCGTTTGTTATCCTCTGGAATCTAGGCAGTCCAAACAGTTTAACTGTATTGTCTTGGTTTGTACCAGCGCAGGCTTCGTTACCCCAGATTGCGCCAATGTCTCCAATGCCACAGACAGGCGCTGGTGTGCGAAATCGTAGACTGACTGCCGCTATCAGCCGGTGAAGCAGTTGCTATGGGTGGTGGAACGAGTTGCTGATGCTTCGGTGGCTCCTGCATTGAACGTCGTACAAGCCTGTGTAAGCAAGCAGCAGACGCTGACACACAGCATGATTTGGTAACGCATCAGAGATCGTGCCAACTAGTGCTATCTGCACAGCTGGTTCGTGCGGTATGGGTTCGGACTGCTTGTCTCTAGGAAGCCACAGCTTTTTGAGAAGGCTGTTCATGCACGTCAGGGCATAGAGTGAGGAACCTTAAGGGCCCCCTTGGCCCTGCCAGACTTTGTGTCTTCAGGCCCGCGCGGTCCATCAACATCTGGACTCTGGATCGGCGACTGGCGCCCTTGGGCCAGGCCGGGATGGCAACGGCAAGAGCTGAGAACAGGCTCTGGAGTGGCGAGTTTGCAAGACAGACAAGGAGAGACGGAGAGAGCGAGCGAGAGAGAGAGAGAGAGAGGATGGACCTGATGCAGACGACTGGAGTGCAGCCCCAACAAGATATGCCAACTCCGGGAATGGGCCCAGGAGAGCCGTAGCGGGCTCATGCCAACCGCCCCCAGAACATGCTGGAACAAGCTCTACTACATCCGCATGATCCACGGAGTTTGCTGGCACGAAGGTATGCAGGGGAGGGCCCTCTCTTGCCCCCTCACGTTTGGCGCAACAACCCCATAGGGTTGGATCTCCAAGCTACGGATGCTGCG